TAGCATAATTATTAGTTCAATATCTACTCAAAAAAGAATTTGTTGAAGTAAAATCAGTAAATTAGCTAAATATTGTTAGTGTTATGCCATGCTTGTTCATATATATGTAGATAACAATTGCTACAGCCGACCAGATAAGCTCAAGAACACGAAATGTTGCTCAGTAATTAGCAATATTCTGAAGCTTATCCAGAAATTTTGTGCCAAGTTTAGATGCTAATCTGAATAACCTATATTCAGAAAATGCAGAAATTAAAGTACTGCACATATTCTTGCTCGTATGCTACTGACCAAGAATGGGATTTAATTTTAGTTGATTATTAAAATAATCCTTAAGTTAACAAAAAATAGCTTTGTCACAAGCAATGTCTAAAGAATCTTCTTGATTTAATTCTAAATCTTTTATATATATTTCACTTGTTTTATGTACTGCATAATTGCTGTGTGGTTCTGGTTTTGCCTCTAAAATGATGACATTTGGTTGAGGAACTTTGCATTCTACATCCACTGTTCCTTTAAGTGCAGTATTAATTTCATTTATGGCAAACTCCCTTGGGCATTCCATTATCAACTGATTAAAAATTTGTATAAGATTTTCCATCCACTGTTCAATATACAAGTTTCTTCTGCACAAACTTTTGTCAAGATTATTTGAAATTGAAGGTGATATATTTAGATTAGGTATTTCAAACTGAAAAACCATGTGCAAAGTGGCATGAGCTGTACCTCGTGTATCATCAAACAGGTTACTAGCTCTAAATGTTTTTCTTTAAAATTGATATTGTCTATTACTGCCAGGTTTCAAATATTTGGTTCTGATTTTAGTTTTTTTTGTGTATCTGTCTTTAACATAAGTTTTTTCAAATTTTCACTTCATAATCTTTAGAGTATGTTATGACATTTGCTGCTCGAAGAATAGAACGTAAATATGATGCAAGCTTTGGCCATTCACAGAAAAATCTGATTATATATAGAAGCCAAAATTTCCAACTCTTGAATACAAGCATTAGAATAATGGAAGATAGAAAAGCTGTGCTTTTCACTGTTTTATTTTCATCAAATTTGGATATTACACTTTTGCACTCTTTTCATTTTTGTTTAACAATTTCATACTTTTGAAGCTGCAAAGTATGAACTAAACCATCAAAGAAACTAGTTAAATATTTCAGAATTATATCATAATACTGTTGTAAAGACTTTGGGCTTTCTAATGTTGATTTATAAAAAGATAAAGTGGCATGTGAATTTAAAACATCAAGGACAAGTGATTCTCCAAATTCTTTACATTTTTTAGGGTTTAATTTGAATTGTCTTATTTGTTTATAAAAATTTAACTCTTTAACTTTTAAAGCTATATTAGCTACAAATAGGCTAGGTAGCCTATTTGTTTGTATGAGTAGCAAATCAAAATCAAGATTTTTTAAACATGAAAAAAGAACTTGAAGTAAATATTCTTCAGCTTCGTCATTTTCTGATTGTGCTACCATTTCAATTAGCTTTGCAAAGCGATAAATAGCAGTTGTTGTGTTATCAGAATGCTTTGCAGTACATCCCAGATCTTCTCTACATCCAGAACCTTGATGTACATGCAAATGCTCTTCATTCTTTTCATAACACTGGTAGCACATATAACGAACACCTCGTGAATTTTTTGTATTTTCTGTATCTGAGCTTTCTTTAATAGCTGGACAAAGAACCATTCCACGGCACAGTACTTGTAATCTTTGATCAAATACAATCCATATATGCTCTATACAACTTGCTCCGTGACTAAATAAAGCCTTTTTTTTATTGCAGAAAAAACAAATGTGGCAATTAAACTGACTTTTTTCAGTTAAACGTTCTTCTTTCAACTTTTTACTATGCACTGTATTTTGATTGTAATTAAAGTACTTCGAACATACTCCAAGAAGATGAAATTGGTTATTAACTTCATTAACAGCATCCATGTCAATTTTTCAGGCACCAATGAGTTCTCGCAACCTCTTATTACTAGTTTCATTACAGCAACGTATTTTTCCAAGTTTGTTATCGATTATGATACACAGTGTAATTGGCTTTGCTTTAATCTTAGAAATCTCTTCAGAATATTCACTGCCAGCTTCCTTATAGCTTGTCTTCTGCAAAATTGTCATATTCTCTGCATCAAGCTCTTTCCATGGGTCATTTTCATGTTCAGCTAAGTTTAAGGCTTGTTTGTATAAGTTTTGCTCAAAGTTGATTACTGGCTCATCATTATATTCATTTTCATCATCAGATAAAACCAGAGTCTGAATGTCTGCTAAATGCTCTTGTAATTAATTCTGGTCAAATTGAGAAGAAAAAACTTCTTGTAAATTTTAAGAGAAATTATAACTCATTTTTTTTTGATAATAAAAGTATGAAAAAAAATTTTAAACCATTTTTTGTAGATTTTTGTTTGATGTTTAAAAAACAAATGGGTCAAATATGGGGTTTTTATTGATTTCAAAAATTTTTTTTTAAACTATTAGAAAGAAAGAATTTAGGTTACTAATTATAGCTTCGTCATGAATCACAGCTGAAATTCAAAGATCATGAATATCTTGAATAATTAGTTCTGATCATAGAAAATTAATTGTTGATCTCTAATTATGTTAAAACTGTTTGCAGTAAATTCAGGTAATTTTTAAAAAGAATGTAAAATTTTTATTGAATCATAAAACATTTAATGCCTATTATTTTATATTGATATTAAAGAGATTAAAAACTTAAACTTTATGTATTATGTGAAATAATTTTTATTAATGTTTAATAGAATTAAAAATTTTACAAAACAATTAAATACATAATATATTTAAAATAAAAAAATTTCAAATAGTAAAATTCACTTCGCTCAAATTTTAAAAATATTTATTTTTAAGTGTTTTAAAAATGACATGGAAAATAAGAACATCTAGCACCACAAAAACCCAATCCCTAATTCTAATCCAAACCCTAATTCCAACTTTAAAAACCAATCTTTAAAATTTGCAGTGAATTCAAAATTTCATATAAGAATTTCACATCCTTAGTCCAACCAGCATTCCATGACATGCTTGTATCAAATTCAGAGCAAACCGAAAAGATGATTTTTCTACAATGCTTCTAAAAAAAAATTATTTTTCTAGATCTAAAAATTAATAACCTAACAGTAAATTAGTGTAAATACTTGAACTATCCACCATAAAATGTTAACCCGATTACTATACATACAGTACCTCAAAGAATGCCATATATTGGAAATAGCACATAATAAACTTCAAAATTCAAAAGGATGAAGAATATACTCAGTTATGGCATTAGCAATTGCAAAAATCTGATTAGATCAGTAGAACTAATATCAACACACAATCACCGAAATTACGTTTATTCTTCTTTCGAACATGTAACTGCAGAACTATGTTCTTTACAGCAATCAGTAACAAACATATTTGGAGGATCTTGGAAATTATCTGTAAGTAAAAAAGTGTAGAGATGTATTAATATTGTATCGCATTTATACCCAATCTTTGAGCTCAAGATTATTTTCAACTGTGTTTTTAATATAGACGAAATTTGTACTGGTGTTTGTAGGAAGCCACGGGAATGTCACGGCCAAAAAAGAACTATGTGTGACGTCTCAGTAACTCGCAAATTTAAAAAAACTAAAAATTATATGTATTTTTCTGTATGTCGATCAATTTTTTTTTATATGTGTGCAAATGTAATAATGATCATCCCCGACATGTCGGCCGACTGATATACAAATATAAAAATGCCTTACCAAAATTTATGCATTTAATATATCAGTATATGGTCATTAAGAGCACGCCATTTACGTATGTACGTACAGTCGGTTCAGAAAGTTTAACGGTTACACAAAACATAATAAAAACAAATTTTGTACAAAAGCATAATACGTATTCAGGAAGAATAGGAAAACCTAAATCATCAATTACAGTATTTGATTTGTAAATTTTTTTGCCTTGTTATTTTTGTCATAAAATGACATCATAATTTATGCAAAATATCACGCTGAAAAAATTTCACATGCTAATATAATATAAATATATAACTTTCCATCGGAGTAATGTCACCCATGTGCTGCTATGTAGCACATGGGAGTGACATTAACTTCATCGAAAAAAATGTCCTGTTATTTTTCATCGTATGACCAATATCTTATACTTGAATAAATTTTTTACGTATTGTCCGTGTAACCGTGTTAAACTTTGTGAGTCGACTGTACGTACGTACGTACGTATATATTCACACAACATGGTTACTTTCATTCAAACTTAATCTTTACTAAGTACGTTTTTTTCCTCTATTATTCGTGATTCAAAATGGTGCCAGAAACTAATATAAATGACAACGCTGAAGATTCGATCTATAACGATGCCAAGAGGAAAGTTAATGATGAAGAGAAAATTCATGATGAAGAAAACAATTTCGAAAAAAAGTTGGAAGATGACTCTAACAATGAATTGATCTCAGCAGCAAGTTATCAAACATTATTTATTACTTCATAATGTATCCTATTTTATTTCACTTTGAATTTATTTGAAATTTTAGGCCGTTAGTACAAATGATGATCCAAATTTGCCATGCTTAACTTTTCGTTATTGGGTGCTAAGTACTGTAAGTCTTACGTATATTATAGTATATTTATTGTATGGATATAGGATATAGTATATAAATAAATTGATTATGCCAGTATATAAAATTCAAGTATGATTTTGCATTTTCATAATAATATTTTTTAAGCCTTAATGTTCTCAAAAATTTTTAATTCTTCATAAAAAAATTAAATTAGTTTATATCAAAAAAAAAAAGTTTATTTAAAGTGTTCATAAATAGAGCTCGTATTTTAATAAATTACATTAATTTTTATTAGTATTCTCGGAGAACGTTGAGAACATTGATTTTTACGGTTCTACCTGAAATCCCGAAAGATAGATCCCAAAAAAGATATAGTACCGACAGAGTTAGGTATAATGTTGGCTAATTTAGTCAGTATTATGTCCTTTCGAGATTTCAGGGTAGAACCGAATTTTACACACTGCATTACTCATACATAACCACATGGCTTCAGCCACATGATTCTTTATGAACTTGTATGCAACCAGTACAGTGTTAGTGCAGCTGGGTTCAACAAAACTTGAGGTTTAAAAAATGGGAATAATTCAAAAATTTTATTAAGATAACTTTGCTTTTATTTCTTAAAAAATATAATAAAAATTTTACACAAGTTATGTATTTATTATTGTATTATTATTTTTTGGTTAAATGTTGATGGGACAATATAGGACATGGTAGGACGGGGCAAAGCAAAAAAGTTTGGGACACTTAAAAATGTACAAAGCTGACTAGATATACGATATATCCATACAATAAGTTATTGTTTGTTTTTACTTAGTTTCTTTTTGCCTTACGAATCATGTATCAATACGTAGTTTTTTACGGCATTGGGTGCTGCGGTGTCAGTATGCTATTTTTTTCGTGCAAATAGCCTAGTTTATTCTGTATTCTTTGTGATACTCATATCCCATATTGCGGGTAAATGGTTGGAAAAAATCTTACCAAATAAGAAATTTCGTATTAAAAATTGGGAATTTAATCTAAACCCAGGTTTATCATTTTACGAATATTTATCATTATGCTTGAATCCTTGGTCATATAAAAAATGTTGTATGTAACTAACTATTTGTACTGTAGGTCCTTTTAACTATAAGGAACACGTTTGCATAGCTGCAGCAGCTAATGCTGGTGGTGTAAGCGCATATGCTGTGGTATAATTCAAATCTTTTAACTATTTATTTTTTATATTGTCTCAACACGGTTTTGATGTTTATCTTTTCGTAATTTACTTTATAGGCTATAATCTCAATCCAAGAATTATTCTATAATACTAGAATTAATTTCTTAATTGGTTTTATGTTATTAATTAGCACGCAAATGATTGGTTATGGGCTCGCTGGATTTGTTCGAAAATGTATGTATTTTATCAATAACGATTAATTATCAAGAATAACTATCTAAAATAATTGTTGAAATAATTATATAATTACCCAGACAATTAATATTACTCTTAAAAATTTTTAATTAATCTATTTATATTAATTACATGAATTTAGATTTGGTTCGTCCAGCTAACATGATATGGCCCAAGTCTCTTGTCTTTGCTGCCATGTACAATACGTTACATAATTCAGAAACAAAATATAAAATTCGATTTTTTTATATCGCTTTTATTTCAATGTTCATTTGGCAGTTTGTACCAGAATACATATTTCCATGGTTATCTGGTGCTGCCATATTATGCCTTATTGCTCCAAATAATAATACGATAAAGACATTAGGAAGTGTTTATAGAGGTGCTGGAATTCTTGGTTTTTCCTTTGATTGGAACGCTATTGGTCAAGTCAATCCCTTATTTACTCCATGGTAACTTTCATTTATATTCCCATGTACTATCATTTAGCTTGATACATTTTATATTTATTTTATTTACTTATTTTATTTTATATTTATTTTATTTATTTATTTTATTTTATTTGTTTATTTATTTACTTTATTTTATTTTTTATTTATTTTTTGTTTATTTTTATTTATTTTATTTTATTATTTAGGTGGTCTCAAGTAAATTGCTATATTGGTATCGTCTTAGCAATATGGGTCATTGGTCCGTTGCTGTACTTCAACAATGTCTTGTAAATAACTATATAATTTTGTCTTGAGAATTGTTGTATATTTTGTAAATTAACTGTTATTTTATTTAGTGATGCCCAAAAATTTCCTTTCTTATCATCTCATTCATTTGATAAAGATGGAAACATGTAAGTATCATTCTTTTGAATGATTACATTATTAAACCTATTAAACTATGAAATAATATTTTTTTTTTAGATATAACCAGACAAGAATCATAGATCCAGTGACTGGTGCTCTTGATGTTACTTCATACGAGAACTATAGTCCGATTTATATGTCTGTTATATTTGCTTTATGTTATTGTTATAGTTTTATGCAAGTTCCCGCAACTCTTTGTCACGTGATACTATTTCATGGGAAAGAAATTTGGAATAGATACAAAAAAACTCGCGAAGAAGAGGAAGAAACTGACATTCACTGCAAAATGATGAATGTTTATCCAGGTTTCTATATATATTTTTCATTTCATTTACGTATTTTTCTAATGATTTATTTGGAAAAAAATTATTAAAGACATGGTTTATACGTATTATCAATTTTCTTATTGACAATAGAAGTACCATATTATTGGTATATGGCTATCTTCTTTGTCATGTTAATAATCGCAATTATCCTTGGTTATAAAGTAAATTTACCTTGGTGGGGTGTACTGTTGGCTATTGCTCTTGCTATATTTATGGTGCTTCCAATAGGTATAATATTTATGTTTAAATCTCTGATTTAATATTTTATTTCAATATTCTCGTCTGCCAATAGGAATTATTCAGGCTATTTCAAATTGGCAAATTGGTTTGAATGTTTTGACTGAATTGGTGTGCGGTTTTCTTTTACCCGGTTATCCTATCGCAAATGTATATTTTAAAGCTTATGGACATATATCCTTGACTCAATGTTTATTATTTGTACAAGATTTAAAATTGGGTATGTTTCTTTATTTAGGAAAAATTTTATCATTGCTAACATTATTTTAATAATATAGTTATAAAAATTTTATTCATTATTTAAAGGTCATTATATGAAAATTCCTCCAAGGAGCATGTTCATATCACAAATATGGGGTACAATTGTTGGCATAATTGTAAATTATTGGACAACGAATATTGTAATAAATACAAAAAGATCTTATATTGATGGTACAGAAGTTGATCCAACTGGCCAAGTAAATAGTTTTTTTTTTTTTCATTGATCTGACTTTGTTCTCTTTTAAAAAATGTTTTTAATTGTATGTGTAGTGGGCAGGCCTTCAACCAGAAATATTCAACACCGCATCTATAATATGGGGATTAATTGGACCTGCAAGGGTTTTTGGGGTATGTCAATTCGAATATACTGTGTTACAATATTTTATTATTGAAATTATAATTTATCTATAAATCTAATACCTTTATGTTTTATGGTAGCCTAGCTCAATTTATAATGTGCTCCTCTGGGGCTTCTTGATTGGTGGCTTTTTGCCAATACCATTTTACTTACTTCATCGAAAATTTCCAAAGCCAAAATTTAATTTTGTGAATATTCCAATAATATTCTTTGGTCTATCTGCTTTTCCTCAAACTTATCCAAATTTCATAATCACTGGGTTCATTGCTGGCTCTTTGAGTCAATTTTATGCATTTCGTTATAAACATATGTAAGTATATTACCTGTTTATTTTTTTATAAACACATGTGTAGTATATGAATTAAAGAATTAAAAGGTTTCTTGCTTAATTATTATAGGTGGTGGAAAAAGTAAGTTTTTTATTTGTAATCGATATTTGAAATGTTTGAAAAGACGCTCAAATTTTTTTTATTATAGATATAATTATGTAATGTCCGCAGCATTTGACAGTGGTGCACAAATAATGACAATGATAGCTTTCATTTGTCTTAATGGTATTGTGAAAGTAAGTTATTCATTTAATATTTCTAAGTTATGTACCTAGTGCAAAATTTTTTATGAGTATGACTCAATACATTTATCCTTAGGTACAATTTCCAACATGGTGGGGTAATGATCCATCAACTCAAAGTGAACATTGTTTTCCTATAAAAAGTTAGAATTACAAAGAATGTTATCAATCTTTTCTCTAAATACAAACCTTGTTTATAAATAATTGTTTTTGCATCGAATGCTAAAATTTGGGATCTCTTTTGAAAATACGATCCTTACTAAAATCCTTTTACATTATTATTATAAATTCACGCCTAGATATTAAAAACAAGGAATGAAAAATGTAAACAAATATCAGGATTAAAACAAACCATTTATCCGTGACTTTGCCACGGACTTTTTATATGGGAGTAATGCGACAAGAGCTTTTAAATAATATTTTTATGTATTCGATAAGTTTCATACAATCTGATAGCGTTATTAGAAATTAAATCCTTTATGATTAATTCAAGTAACTTTTTTTCTTTTTTTGTATTTATTTTTGGACTGATCTTTTTATTATATGTAATGTACTATTATTGATAATTTTCATTTGCAAATAATAGTTGCTTTTTTATTTAATTTTTATCATCCGAAGCTAACTTTTCATATTGCTTGGCTAATTTATATAAAAATCCGAATCCCTGGAACACGTTCCGATCGTAAATCTTTATTGCAAGTTCTTCATCAAATAGATAACCGTAAAAGAACTTTGTCCAGTTGACATCTCTGACATGATTCCAAAGCCATTAATATCGCAGTTATTTTGATCAGTTAAAACACATGAGGCATATAATCCTAGATCTAAGGTTTAAGATTGCGTTGATCTTGTAAAATATTACCGCTGTGAGAACCTGCATGAATATACTCTGCCCTATAAATATTATATTATTATCCGGCAGCTTACTTTGGTGATGCTGATAGAACATATAAAATGGGTTACAGTCAGACCTCCCTAAATGCACGTCGCCGGGACCACCTCTTGAGCATGCATTTAGGGAGGGTTGCAATTAGAGAACACTAATAAAATCACGTTACTGTTAACACGTGATAATGTGGCTTTAATAGCCTTGAAATAATAAATGATTGGCTGGTAATCACGTGAATGCATTTATGGAGGGAGTTTTATAAGTGGGCCAGACGGTTAGCGTCCACTTACAGAATAAAGAACGTGTATTTATCTATAAGTCCCACCATAGGCCCGGGCTTATGTCATGCATTTAGAGAAGTGCTTCATTTAGGGAGGGTGCATTTAGAGAGATCTGACTGTATTTATATGATTAGAAAACAGGTGCTGTTAGATGTCCGAAGCCAAAAATTTCATTTTTGTCGTGAATTAAAAATAAATAAAAAAACAATTGGCTAGTAGTATGTAAATATCTGATCTAAAAATAGTTACGGCATAAACACACACGAAATATGTCTATGACTTCTTCGCTACGCTTCGGACAATAAAGATCGACCTTATAGTATAAATTTTATTCCAATACTTCCATTATATTTCCATATTTTCTGTAAAAATTCCATAAATCTGCAATATAACTGGTTATGTCGAATAATTTCCGTCATTTAAAGATATAAATTCCATTAATATGCAATATTTATGGACAGAACATGGAATAGAAAACGCGGAACTGAAAATGACCAATTTAAATCACCCAAGTCAATGATAATGGGATAGAAATAATTAAAAGAAAAATATCAAATAATGAGAATTCATATTGTGCCAATGGATTTTAAAATTAAATTTATAAAACATTGAGAGATGGAAATATTATATCTGTTGCGTTAAATTGTTACTTTATTATAAAGAATCATAAATAATTTAGTTACTTCAAAATATTTGAAATATTACCGATTAATCTTTACTGTATAAATATTTATTTTATTTTTAAGCTAGTAACATATTATACTATCCCTTAAACCGTATATTTTAGCGTACAAATTTGTACGCTAAAATAGTTAAGACAAAGTAGATCTAAAAAAAAATTTTTTTTTATACAAGGCATAATTTAAATCGGTCACAATAACTTCTAAGAAGCCATGTTATCACAACTACGATGTACGTATCATGTAACCTAAACAAAAAAGCACAAATTTGTGCGGAAGCAGTGAAATATGCGGGTTATTTACCCGAACTTTTGGAAGCCACCTTAGCCGATTCGGTTTAGAAGATTGCAAATCTGACTATTGTGGTGTCACAAGATACCCGCATATTTCACGGCTCATAACACAGATTAGGGGTATATGATCTTCAAGTTCATGAATAAACTAATTTATTAAGGGTTTAAATAATTAAATTATTAAATAGTGATGTAATCATCATAGCGCAGTAAATTAATAGTCAAATAGGAGGCTATAAAGCCTTGCATTATTTATTTTATTTATTTATTAGTGTGAAATTCTAAAAAACAATTTCGGTCCACATTACAACAAAGTGGAACGTTACAAGCAGCACACCAAAATTTACTTCGGTTTGGTGATTTACAGCTCATTTTAATTTTTTTTTGGGTCATCAACCACGAGCACCACTGACATGCTTCCTGATTTTCCCTCCATTCTACAAGGTGGTTTCCAGGTTCCAACTGACTATCAGAGAGCTTAAAATGCTTGGTTACTTTTGGTCTTTTTGATTCTTCTAACTTCTTTTTTTTTTTTTTTTTTATGCTATTCCTTAATTGAACTTCACCAGTATCATTGGCAAAGTTTACAAGAGCCCAAACAAGCTCAAGACGGAATTCTCTATGTTCTTGTGTTAATCTTAGGGTTCTGGTGATGTGGTAAGAGTTGATGATTGCGGTGTCTAGCAACCAAAAGAACAGCGGCATCCAATTTCTTCGTATCATTTTTTGGGTGCTGTAATACGATCTTAGTTGATCTGCCACATCCACACTGTTCATGTTATTATTGTAATCATCGATTATCTTAGGAATTTTCAAATTTTTTTTGAATTCGGATCCAAACACGGCACGTATCTAGAAAATGGTATCAATGATCCAAAAAAAAAAAAAAAAAAAAAAAGACCTTAGATGCATTAGTACTTGTTTCCCTTGGTCGTCGTCTTTCTCGCATTACTTCCCATTCTTCACCAACGAAACCATGGATTGTTGATAACATCGTGACGGGCCCATTATCCTGCCAAAAAAAAGCTAAAACACTATTTACTACCACCCCAGAACGAATATCCCAGTCAAGTTTAACATTTTTATCCACTCTTAACTCTTTTGGAAATCTGGAGGAATTTTTTCATATGGTTCCAAAGGCACCAATTCTGATTTGCCGAAGATACTGAAAAAGAGCAATGCTGGAAAAATAGTTATCTATGAATACATTGTATAGAAATTGTTGGTATGGAAGTTGCTCAATAAGATGGAGGACCAGGTTTCCAATTTGACTAAGACCCCTAACTTTATTAGTATCACTTGGTGAAACACGAGACATTGGTAAAAAAGTGTATGTATATCCTGCCTCACAGAGTGATAAGATCTTGAATCCCTCCGTTATCAGTTTGTTTTTTATTCGGACTATATGAACGCTTTTGCCAGAAAAATGGACTATCATTTCATCAATTGAAACTTTTGAATTTGGTGTGTAAAGGCGTTTCGAAGTATCTCGAATGTGAGAGAGCAATGGCTCCAATTTTTTAAAGTAATTATCAATCTCTTTCATAGGGGAGGAGACGTGCAAAAACCTTTTAATTTGTTCAAAGCGAAACAATGATATTTGCTTTGAAATATGATGGACAGGGAGCTTTGGATCCTCGTTCCAGTACTGGTCGAGAGAAGGTAACTTAAAAAGTCCTTGATAGATAACAAGAGCAACCCAAATGATTAGCTCTTTACGTGTTAAGTCTTGCTACTGCCTACCAGCAGCATCTGCGTTCTTGGTCAACGCATACAAATTTGTGTTAACAACCATTGCATCCAGCATGGTTGTTGTAAAAAAGAGAAAAAAAATATCAATTGGCTTGACCACAGCATTATTAAGGTCAAATAGTAACCGAACAGATGCATGGTGTAGTAGTCTTAAATGAGTGAAAGGCTCAAAATCTGATGGAGGTGGTGGAAGCTCTTGTTGCACAGTTTTTGCTACTTTTTTTTTTTTTTGTGGGTTCTTTTAGTGTTTGCTTCTATGGTTTCTTCTTCGCTACTTTCTGAATTCAGATTTTCCAAGAAGTGCTGGTGAAAGATTAAGAGTGGTTCGTATTCTTCTTCTTCACTGTCAGCATTTGTTTCTACCTCGAGGGGAGTT